TAAGTCACACAATACACATTCATTAAGTAATTCATCACTTTGGTTATTCCCGTCAACCAATAAAATGTTCCTCGATGACTCGTAGACTAATTTGCACCATGCGTAATGCAGGCACTTCAACAAGGAAATAAACACATCAGGTAGGTTAAATTATATGATTATTCTCTACCAACACTTCGATCGTTATTCTAATAATATATTTCACATTGCTAGAGCATGTACGTTTAAATGGGCTGTTTTATACACAGTAGAAACATGGTTAAAAGTGACATTGTTTTAGTAACTGGCGTGCACATTTGCCTTATGTCAACGTTTTTGGCAAACGGAATGCACAACTCTATCCAACATATTCTCTTTTGTTTCAGGATTATTGGCTATACCTTGAGGAGATACAATAGTCTTTCTCCAACCAATAATTTGTTTCAGTGTCATTGTCTATAAGTCACGGACATGCGCTCCATGACACACACACACACACACACACACAGACACACACACACACACACACACACACACAGACAACACACATACTCACTCACTCATCACCATGCACACACCCACTCACCACTTACACTGCTGCTATATTGATTCTTAGTACCATTATTATTTATCCTGCCATCAGTCACTTTTTACCGCTGTTTACATGTACATACAGTCATGTGAAAAAGTAAGTACACCCCCTGGAAAGTGGTCTTGTTTTTGTACATATTTGGACACATTGATATTTGAGCTAAATTCCCACCACATTTATTGATAAAGGTAACCCAATTTAACAAATCACACAAAAAATAAAAAAATACATTGAAAATGTTATGCCATTCAAATAAACAAAAATGTATTTTCCTTATGCGGAAAAGGTTAGTACACCCCTACCTTTACCAGCACATAAAATGGCAAAAATGTGAATCAGGTGCACCAAAACAGGTGCAAATGATTAGAAAATCATTAGAGAGAAACTTAGGAGGGTCCAGCCTTCCATAAAGACTAGAAACTAAGTCTGGTTTGGTCTTAACCATATGGGTGTGTGGTAACACAGCATGCCCTCAGAAGAGAGATTATTGATGCAGATGAGTCTGGGAGGGGATAGAAATCAATTTCCGAGCAATTTGAACTACATCATTCCACTGGCTCATCTACAAATGGAGAAAATTCCAGACCACTGGCATTCTACCTAGGACAGGTCGTCCCACCAAATTCAGCCCAAGAGCTGACCGATAGATGCTCATAGAAGTCTCTAAGAACCCCAGGGTAACATCAAGGGATCTACAGTCCTCTCTTGCCACAATCAATGTCGAAGTGCATGAGTCAACTGTCAGAAAGAGACTGCACAAACTTGGCCTACATGTGAGGTCAGGAAGGAAGAAGCCTCTGCTCTCAAAAAAGAATATCAAGACATGACTGACGTTTGCCAGACAACACCTGGGTAAAGACCAAAACTTCTGGAACAATGTGCTCTGGACAGATGAGGCAAAGGTGGAGTTGTTTGGTCGCAATGCCAGACACCATGTTTGGCGAAAACTAAACACTGCCTTTGAACAGAAGAACCTCATACCAACCGTAAAGCATGGAGGCGGTGGCATTATGGTTTGGGGCTGCTTTGCTGCCTCAGGGCCTGGCCAACTTGCCATCATTGAGTCAACCATGAATTCTATATTGTATCAGAGAATTCTTGAGGAGAATGTGAGGCCATCTGTCAAAAAGCTGAAGCTGAACCGAACATGGATCTTGCAACAGGACAATGATCCAAAACACACAAGCAAAGCTACAACAGAATGGCTCAAAAATAAGAAATGGAGGATTATAGAATGGCCGAGTCAAAGCCCAGATCTCAATCCTATCGAAATGCTGTGGGGGGACTTGAAGCTGGCCGTGCACGCAAGAAAGCCCTCGAACATGACACTTTTGAAGAAGTACTGTAAAGAAGAGTGGGCAAAAATTCCTCCCAGTCGATGTAAAAAATGTCTACATTAAGTTATTTCAGCCAAAGGGGGCAACACAAGCTATTGAAGCTAAATGACTCAAATGTAAATGTAAAATGTGTACTTGCTTTTTCCGCGCTATGGAATTGCATTTCTGTTGATTTTTGATGAATAAATGTTTGCCAGGTATAATCTTTCAGTGTCATTTACTAAATTAGGTTACCTTTATCTGTTAATAGTGCTGAAGTGAAGATTACATATCCATCTGTCCAAATATGTAAAAAAAAATAAAAAATTTAACAGACAATTTTCCAGGGGGTGTACTTACTTTTTCACATGACTGTATCTACCTCAATTACACAGGTACTCCTGCACATTGTAATTACGGTACTAGCACTGACCCTGTATATGACTTGCATTCTGATGTTTTTTGTTGTTGTAGTTTTTCATACTTCTCATGTGTTTTCTTACTTTATATTAGTAATGTATATTATTCCTTTATATTATTTCCACTCACCTTGATACTGAATACTGCATTGTTGGGAAAGAGCTTACATACAAGTAAGCATTTAACTGTACTATTTTACACCTGCTGTATCCTGTGCATGTGACAAATAAACTTTACAACTTGAAACACTTAGGAGAGGCTACTTCTATTTCAAGTCAGCAATTTGACATTTCTAAAGTATTTGGTTATTTCCAACATAAGAACATGTCCTCCACACCACTGCTACCTCAACACATGGCCTATAGCATACGTTGATGCAAATAAATGTTGTAAATACAGTGCATTTGGAAAGTATTCAGACCCCTTTACTTTTATTTTTTTTACAGCCCTATTCTAAAATTGATTAAATAAAAATTGTACCTCATCAATCTACACACAATACCACATAATGACAAAGTGAAAACATAATTTTTTGCAAATGTATTAAAAATAAAAAACAGAAATACCTTATTTACATAAGTATTCAGACCCTTTGCTATGAGACTCGAAATTGAGATCAGGGACATCCTGTTGATCATCCATGAGATGTTTCTACAACTTGATTGGAGTCCACCTGTGGTAGATTCAATTGATTGGACATGATTTGGAAAGGCACACACCTGTCTATATAAGGTCCCGCAGTTGACAGTGCATGTCAGAGCAAAAACCAAGCCATGCGGTGGAAGGAATTATCTGTAGAGCTCCGAGACAGGATTGTGTCGAGGCACAGATCTGGGGAAGGGTACCAACACATTTCTGCAGCATTGAAGGTCCCCAAGAACACAGTGGCCTCCATCATTCTTAAATGGAAGAAGTTTGGAACCACCAAGACTCTTCCTAGAGCTGGCCTCCCGGCCAAACTGAGCAATCGGGGGAGAAGGGCCTTGGTCAGGGAGGTGCCCAACAACCCGATGGTCACTCTGATAGAGCTCCAGAGTTCCTCTGTGGAGATGGCCTTTATGGTAGAGTGACCAGACGGAAGCCACTCCTCAGTAAAAGGCACATGACAGCCCGCTTGGAGTTTGCCAAAAGGCACCTAAAGGACTCTCAGACCATGAGAAACAACATTCTCTGGTCTGATGAAACCAAGATTGAACTCTTTGGCCTGAATGCCAAGCGTCACGTCTGGAGAAAACCTGGCACTAACCCTACAGTGAAGCATGGTGGTGGCAGCATCATGCTGTGGGGATGTTTTTCAGCGGCAGGGACTGGGAGACTAGTCAGGATCGAGGGAAAGATGAACGGAGCAAAGTACAGAGAGATCCTTGATGAAAACCTGCTCCAGAGCACTCAGGACCTCAGACTGGACCATAAGCACACAGCCAAGACAACACAGGAGTGGCTTCGGGACAAGTCTCTGAATGTCCTTGAGGGGCCCAGCCAGAGCCTGGACTTGAACCCGATCGAACATCTCTGGAGAGACCTGAAAATAGCTGTACAGCGACACTCCCCATCCAACCTGACAGAGCTTGAGAGGATCTGCAGAGATTAAAATGGGAGAAACTCCCCAAATACAGGTGTGCCAAGCTTGTAATAGCTGCCAAAGGTGCTTCAACAAGGTACTGAGTGAAGAGTCTGAATACTTATGTAAATGTCATATTTCTAAAAACGTGTTTTTGCTTTGTCATTATGGGGTATTGTGTGTAGATTGATGAGCTATGCACCGTTTGCTCTGTCTGATGTGAGCTAAATAAAGGGGTGACTGCGAAACGTGCCATTTCTGTCATTAACCTCCTATCTGCAGTCATTCTGCCTGCCAGGCTTTATATAACCAGCATACATTGTTTATCAGTACATTTTTACTATCAACTGTAGTCTATGTAACATAAATGAACAGGTGGCTTTAAAGTCACCAAAATAGAGGCAATTATTTTATAATGTGGGAAAATTGTGACATGGTACAGTATGAACGAGGACTTCGTTTATTTATTTTTAATGCTACCACCATGTAAGATATACCATTTAAACTGGTTCAATTCATATTGGGTCTGTGTAAGCCTCATACTTCTGTCCTTAGAGAGTAAATGGCTTATTTTTATTGGGTTTCTTTCTTTTTATTTGTGGACTATGCTTTCTTTTGTTTGGTGGTTTATGTACGTTTTATGACACCCTTTGTCCCCAGAGGATCATTTTGGCTACAGAAGATGTGCAAGAGCCAAGGAAACATGCTGTATGTGCAAGCAGAAAGAAATGCATGAATTAGAACGTCCTCACACAATTCGCTCTGTCCATGACTCAGTCTGTATTGACAATAAATACTCGTACAATTGTATAAATTAAGAGGAAGGCATAGTAGAGGGATTCTGTGATACACACAACGAGTTCTTTACAACCCTCTACACATTGATTTGTAAAAGAAGAACCTGCTTCTCTCTTATCTAGGCCACATGAGGAGGATTAAAGCAAATACGGCGCCTCCAAGGTCAAGCCCCCATGCCCATAAACTTCTTACATCTGACAATGCAGTGATTCCCCCCACTGGCAAGGCACTTATAAATAACATCTGGAACATCAATTACAAGCTGTACACACCAAGATTACAGAGCCAAACAGATTCATTACTAAATCTCCAACCTACATGGAGAGAGCTGCCCTCATCTAGTCTTCAAGTACTCTGGGATGGAGTAATTGAAGAGCAGGAAGTCCATGCGGTAAAGGTTGTACAGCTTCTTTTGGTAAAAGGGGCTGACGTTTTGGAAGAACTGAGCTGCCATGTCCCCGTTGGTCCTGGTTCTCTTGCCTGAGGTAGGGAAGTGGACCTCCCCGTCAGCGCCGGCCAGCCGCAGCACAGAGCGGGAGTCCTGCTCCAGAGTCTCATACTTCCCCACCACATCGTAGTGGATGAGGCAGGGGTGGCACAGTGAGTGGATCCGCTCCCAGTGCTCGTTGAAGGGCTCCTCTCTCTGTGTGCGGGGATCCACCAGGTAGTACACAAATTCCTGGAAGGTGACGTCGTTTCCCTGCTCCAGTGCCTCCGGCTGGGGGTGGGGCCGGTGCCGGCGGATGATCTTGGTGCCGTAGCGCTTGTGGAAGGCCGTGTTGTAGCTGCGGGTGAACTTGTTGCGGTAGGCCGACACTAGCCTCTCGAAGGGCTCCCGCACAAAGATGAATTTCAGGTAGCTGCGCAGACGGCGGTTGATCTCAGAGGTGGAGTACTCTGAAAGTGTGCGCAGGTTGCCCGCCACGTGGGCCTCGTTGGCGGGGATGGCTAGGGGCTCACGGTAGCGTCCGTCCCCCGTCAGGACCATGAAGACACGTTTCCAGTTGGTGCAGGCCACCTTGGGGACGTAGCAGTACAGCAGGCCGTGCTTATCGTCCACGATGAGGTGGCGGAGGTCATCTGGGGTCAACACCCGCCGCTTCTTGGTGTGGGTGAGACACGCCTCCTCCAGCAGCTCTCGCCGACCACGCAGAGACGTCTGCACTGCAGACAAATCCAACTACAGTCACAGAGAGAAAAGGGGACGTACAAGTTCAACACTCACATTTAGAATGTAACACTTAGTGATGAAATAGGAAATATCTCCAATGATAACATCTTCATGTAGCCACATCCTCTGACTAAAACAATTGTGTCCAACTGTCAGTCTTTTAATCTATCTTGTCGGATTAGAAAATGAACTGGAATTGGCATTGCAACATCAAGGCCATCCACTGTGTTTCCCAGTAGACAGGCTGTGGCACTAGTCACATGCAAGAGACAAAGTGTTTAACATTATAATAATGAGAAGCAAAAGAGGTGGCTTGATTTGAGAAATGAGGAAGCAATAGAAGGATCAAGGATGGGGCATGGTGCTTTGTGTTGCTGGCCCACTGTGAATAATGAACAGAAGATAGAGGGGTTGCCAGGTGGCCGGAGTCCAAGAGAAAAAGAACACAACAGATAAGATTAGTTGCATCAGCAGCACCAAACTAACTGCCCTCTGTGTGAGAGAGAGAAAAAGAGAGAGAGAGAGATTCAGTATCACTCAGCATACACTGGATTCCTGAGATTTGAGATATTGGAGCTGAAAAAGAGAGCTTTGTCTTTCTGAGGAAGAGGGGGTACTGTTTTTATAGTAAACACTAAGGACCTGAGTCATAACTTCTAAGTCAAATCAAATTAACTCAACTCAGCCTTGCAGTAACGCTTGAGCCATTACCTCTGAGGAAAGTGAAAGAAAAAGGCAGTTGGTATGTAGTATGATGTAACAATATTTAATGTACAGCAGCAATAATTCAGTTCAGAAACCAAAGGCTACCCAAAAATTATATTTTTTGAGAAATCAAATATGTGTTAACCAAATAAAATGTGTCAAAGTGGTTCACCAAGATCAATACTTTGTCAAATTTAGTTTCCTGTGTGTGACACATCTGGAAACACTTACACATCAATATCAGGTGAACAAACATTATATAACCTTGAGTGTTCACACGCACTCAAGGCATGATAGAATGGGGCCATTCTAAAGCTAGTCACCTGGTCTCCGTTGTAGAGGGTCTGTAGTGGACCTCTCCTGGTCTTCCCTGGGGTGATGCCCTTCCCCCCAGACTGCTCTACAGCTACAGACACAAAGACAGAGGGAGAAAAAGCGAAACGGGTTAATCATCTGAAAAGGGCATTATTGTCTGTTTTCTTTAGTGATTAGTGACGGGTGCTCGATGTTCAAGGAACTTTGTCCTTACTGAGCATCCTTTTGGAATACAAGAAGACATCATATTCTGTACTGGTTGAGCTGTCCTGAACAGTGTTTATCCGACTCTATCACCCTCACCTTGTCAAACAAATCTGACTGTGGCCAGTGCTGCTATAGCACACTGTAGTAATGTAGCCCATCTAGTTCTCATTTCAGTATGTTTTACCTTATGGTGCATGATCTCACATGAGCCCCAGCGCCTCAGGGCTGGAGGCATGTTAGTGGTGGAGAGCGAGAGAGAGAGAGCGAGAGAGAGAGAGAGAGAGAGAGAGAAAGAAACCGCAGAAGGAAATGGGAAAGTGGGTCAAGAGATCTGAAGCTGAGGCACATCACTCGGTGTCAACATCACTAAGGACCTATCATGGTCCAAACACACCAACACAGTCCTAAACGCCTCCCCCTCAGGAGGCTGAAAAGATTTGGCATGGGTCATCAGATCCTCAAAAAGTTATACAGCTGCACCATTGAGAGCATCTTGACTGGCTGCATCACAGCTTGGTATGGCAACTGCTTGGCATCCGACCGTAAGGCGCTACAGAAGGTAGAGTATATGGCCCAGTACATCACTGGGGCTGAGCTCCCTGCCATCCAGGACCTCTATACAAATTGTCAAAGACTCCAGTCACCCAAGTCAGACGGTTCTCTCTGCTACCGCATGGCAAGCAGTACCGGAGCACCAGGTCCTGAACAGCTTCTACCCCCAAGCCATAAGACTGCTGAACAGTTAATCAAACGGCTACCCGGACTATTTGCTTTGACCCCTTTTTTTGCATTGACTCTCTTGCACCGGCTCTATGCACACTCACTGGAATCTACCCACACACTTACACATACTACACTGACACACACAATACATATGCTCACACACACATGCATATTGATGTGACACACACATTCACACTCTTTCATACTCTTTCACACTCTACAGATACGCTGCTGCTACTCTGTTTATTATCTATCCTGATTGCCTATTCACTTTTACCCCTACCTACAGTGGAGGGAAAAAGTATTTAGTCAGCCACCAATTGTGCAAGTTCTCCCACTTAAAAAGATGAGAGAGGCCTGTAATTTTCATCATAGGTACACGTCAACTATGACAGACAAATTGAGAATTTTTTTCCAGAAAATCACATTGTAGGATTTTTAATGAATTTATTTGCAAATTATGGTGGAAAATAAGTATTTGGTCACCTACAAACAAGCAAGATTTCTGGCTCTCACAGACCTGTAACTTCTTCTTTAAGAGGCTCCTCTGTCCTCCACTCGTTACCTGTATTAATGGCACCTGTTTGAACTTGTTATCAGTATAAAAGACACCTGTCCACAACCTCAAACAGTCACACTCCAAACTCCACTATTGCCAAGACCAAAGAGCTGTCAAAGGACACTAGAAACAAAATTGTAGACCAGCTTTCTTAGTGTCCAACAAGCTTTCTCTGCCCTTAACCTTGTTCTATTGTAATCGCTCCTTTTCCCCCCCAGCTGCCAAACTAACCCTGATTCAGATGACGATCCTACCCCTGCTAGAATACAGAGACGTCATTTATAGATCGGCAGGTAAGGGCGCCTCTCGACCGGCTAGATGTTCTTTACCATTTGGCCATCAGATTTGCCACCAATGCTCCTTATAGGACACATCCCTGCACTCTATACTTCTCTGTTAACTGTCCATTTCTGTATACCCGATGCAAGACCCACTGTTTGATGCTTATTTATAAAACCCTCTTAGGCCTCACTCCCCCCTATCTTAGTAACATATCCTCCACATAAAACACCCGTTCTGGCAGTCACATTCTGTTAAAGGTCCCCAAAGCACACACCTACCTGGGTCGCTCCTCTTTTCAGTTCGCTGCAGCTAGCGACTGGAACGAGCTGCAAAAAACACTCAAACTGGACAGTTTTATCTCCATCTCTACATTCAAAGACTCAATCATGGACACTCTTACTGATACTTGTGGCTGCTTCCTGTGATGTAATGTTGTTTCTACCTTTTTGTCCTTCGTACTGTTGTCTGTGCCTAACAATGTGTGTACCATGTTGTGTTGCTCCAGTGTTGTTGTCACGGTGTGTTGCTACCATGCTGTGTTGTAATGTGTTGCTGCCATGCTACGTTGTTGTCTTAGGTCTCTCTTTATGTAGTGTTGTGGTGTCTCTTGTCGTGATGTGTGTTTTTTCCTACTTAAAAACAAATAATAATAATATTATCCTCGCCCCCATCCCTGCTGGAGGCCTTTTGCCTCTTGGTAGGCCATCATTGTAAATAAGAATTTGTTCTTAATTGACTTGACTAGTTAAAAAAAGGTTAAATAAATTCCCTCGTACCCCTGCACATTGACTCAGTACCGGTAACCCTTGTTTACAGTGCCTTCAGAAAGCATTCATAACCCTTGACTTATTCCACATTTTGTTGTGTTACAGCCTGAATTCAAAATGGATTCAATTAATAATTTACATAAGTATTCACACCTGAGTCAATACTTTGTAGAAGCACCTTTAGCAGCGATTACAGCTGTGAGTCATTCTGGGTAAGTTTCTAAGAGTTTTCCACACCTGGATGGTGCAACATTTGTCCATTATTCTGAAAAAAATATTTAAGCTCTGTCAAATTGGTTGTTGATCATTGCTAGACAACCATTTTCAGGTCTTGTCATAGATTTGCAAGTAGATTTAAGTCAAAAACAGTAACTCGGCCACTCAGGAAATTCACTATCTTCTTGGTAAGCAACCAGTGTAGATTTGGCCTTGTGTTTCAGGTTATTGTCCTGCTGAAATGTGAATTAATCTCCCAGTGTCTGGTGGAAAGAGGACTGAACCAGGTTTTCCTCTAGAATTTTGCCTGTGCTTAACTCCATTCCGTTTATTTTTTATCCTGAAAAACGACCCAGTCCTTAATGATTACAAGCATACCCATAACATGATGCAGCCACCACTATGCTTGAAAATATGGAGAGTGGTACTCAGTAATGTGTTGTATTGGATTTGCCCCAAACATACAGTAACACTTTGTATTCAGGACAAAAAGTGAAATGCTTTGCCACATTCTTTGCAGTAATACATTAGTGCCTTGTTGCAAACAGGATTTATGTTTTGGAATATTTGAAATCTGTACAGGCTTCCTTCTTTTCACTCTGTCATTTAGGTTAGTATTGTGGAGTAACAATGTTGTTGATCCATGCTCAGTTTTCTCCTATCACAGCCATTAAACTCTGTAACTATTTTAAAGTCACCATTGGCCTCATGGTGAAATCCCTGAGCGGTTTCCTTCCTCTCCGGCAACTGCGTTAGGAAGGATGCCTGTATCTTTGTAGTGACTGTGTGTATTGATACACCATCCAAAGTGTAATTAATAACTCCACCATGTTCAAAGGTATATTCAATGTCTGCTTTTTTTTACTCATCTACCAATAGGTGCCCTTCTTTGCGAGGCATTGGGAAAACCTCCCTGGTCTTTGTGGTTGAATTTGTGTTTGAAATTCACATCTCGACTGTGAGACCTTACAGATAATTGTATTTTTGGGGTACAGAGATGAGATAGTCATTCAAAAATCATGTTAAACAGTATTATTGCACACAGAGTCCATGCAACTTCTTTTGTGACTTGTTAAACAAATGCTTACTCCTGAACTTATTTAGGCTTGTCAAAACAAAGGGGTTGAATACCTATTAACTCAAAACATTTGACTCAAAACAAAATGTGACAAGTCTTTTTTGTGACTAGCATGTGACTTTGCATGTGACTCCTGCTGTGATAAAACACACTTCCCCCTCTACATATGTCGTTTCATCTGCTCTACACATCAGCCTGCGTCACTGACTATGACTTCCGCTTTGGTGGAAGCACCGTGCACATAGAAGGGGGAGATTCAGGGTTGCGAAACAACGTCAAGATACCAAATTAAACCCTTCCCACTGGTTGAATCAACATTGTTTCCACGTCACTTCAATGAAAATGTTGAAGCAACGTGGAATAGATGTTGAATTGACGTCTGTGACAGTGGGTTATCACTACTCTATGCATTAGTCCAAAGATCAATCAGAAGATTTCTCCTTTTGAAAACATAATATTTTAGATTCTCCTCTCATTGGATATGTGGAGATCACAGGATGCAAGCTACAGTTTCACTATTGCCTGTATAGCTTTCTATAGACCATAGCTGTGTAGACTACCTGTATCTATATAGATAGAACATAGCTGTATAGACCAAAGCTGTATAACCCATAGCTATATCGATCATAGTATATAGACGTAGCTGTAGCTATATAGATAGGAATCTAGCTGTATAGACCAAGCTGTATAACATAGACCAAAGCTGTATAACCCATAGCTATATATAGATCATAGCTATATAGACTAGCTGTATCTATATAAGTAGAATATAGCCGTATAGACCAAAGCTGTATACCCAAGCTTATAGATCAAGCTATATAGACTAGGTATCTATATAGATAGAATATACTGTATAGACCAAAGCTGTATAACCCATAGCTAATAGATCATTACTATATAGACTAGCTGTATCTATATAGATAGAATATAGCTGTTAACCAAAGCTGTATAACCCATAGCTTATGATCATAGCTATATAGACTAGCTGTCTCTATATAGATAGAAATAGTGTATAGACCAAAGCTGTATAACCAAGCTATATATAGATCATAGCTATATAGAATAGCTGTATCTATATAGATAGAACATAGCTGTATAGACCAAAGCTGTATAACCATAGCTAAATAGATATAGTCTCATAGGACTAGCTGTATCTATATAGATAGCAATGTAGCTGTATAGACCAAAGCTTTGTAAACCCATAGCTATATATAGATAGCGATATATAGAACTAGCTGTATCTATCTAGATAGAATA